TTCCCGGGAGCCTGCCGGGCCTGCCCTTCCCACGCAGCCCCCACCTCCGGGCCACCCTCTCGGGGCGGCCTCAGGCCCGCAGGGGGCGTGTCTCAGAGTGCTGGGAGGCGGCTCTCTGCGCCCGCCCCTCCAGGGCCAGCTCTGCAGTGTCCTTGCCGGCTCCCACACTTACCCGGAGGCGTCCCAGGGAGGCAGCTGCTGCCTCTTCCGTGGGGACGGAATGGTGTGAATGCGAGGCTGTGGCCTGAGGAGGAAGCCCCGTGCGCCGTCCAGCCGCTCCCCAGGCCCTCGCAGCACCTGTCCGTGTTGTGGCGCCGCCCGCACCCCTCCTGCCCTTGTGGTGCTCCCTGTCCTCTGCCGGCGCCAAGGCGTCATCGTCCCTTCTTCGAGGCCGCCCTGAGCTGGCCGGACCAGCACCCCTGTCCCCCATTCTGCTGCCCGCCTCGTGACCAGCTTGATGTCCACCAATGCTACGCCCTGAGGTGGAGCTGAGCCTGCTGTGTCCAGACATGGCATCCACTGCTCACGCCTGACGTGGTGTCCGGCCCCCAGGAGCTGGCCAGGTTTGCCACGCGGAAGGCCAAAGGTCGGGCGTGGGTACCGGTAAGTAGCCAGGTGAGGCGTGGAGAGGACCAGGAGGCTGGGTTCGCGGGGCGGGGTCAGGACGGGCAGCGTCCCTGGGGAAGGTGCCTGCCATCTCCGACCTTGTCCTCTCGCTTTCGCGGGGCCCCCGCAGTGGGTTCGGCAGGGCGTGCGACACACCACGCGTGCTGGGACACTTGCCTTCACCATGGCTGTGAGTGCTCCTGAATCGTTGTGAGCTCCTAGGCGGTGGCAGCGCCTGGCGTGCACGGAGGTGTGGGGAGACTCGGCTCTGTCTTCAGCAGCTGTGAGCTGAGCTGGCTGAGCCGACCCCAGCCCCTGCCCCCCAGGAGTGCCCACACGCTGGGCCTTCCCAGCTCCCCCAGGACCCACCCAGATGGACGTCTGTCCCTCCAGACCATGTCGAAGTGCGACTGGCCAGGCACGGTGGCTCACGCCTGTCATCCCAACACTTTGGGAGGCAGAGGCGAGAGGATTGCCTGAGTCCAGGGGTTTGAGACCAGCCCGTGCAACACAACGAGGCTTCGTCTCTTTAATAAATCCAAAAATTAGCCGGGCGTGGTGGCACTTGCCTGTGGTTCCACCTACTTGGAAGGCTGAGGCGGAAGGATCGTCTGAGCCCGGCAGGTCGAGGCCATGGTGGCCGTGAGCATGCCCCTGCACTCTGGCCTGGGCGACAGAATGAGAGACACCCCCCCCAAAAAATGTGGCCCCCAGGTCAGAGGTGCTGGGGTCATGGGGGCAGACCCCCTGTGAATTGGTGCCATTCTCGAGGTGCTGCGTGGGTCCCGACTCTGTTCGTGTGAGAGCTGGTTGTTTAAAAGCTCCTGGCGCTGCCTCCTCTCTCACTCCCCCCTGGCCATGGGACACCCCTGCTTCCCTCCCGTCACAACCGTGGCTTCCTGAGGCCTCGCCTGAGGCACGTGTTGGTTCCATGCACACCGGTGCACCAGATAAACCTCTACAAATTACCCAGGCTTGGGTATTGCTTCGTAGCAGAGCAGACCCTCACATGGCCTCTTGCATCGGTGCCGGCATGTGGAGCCACACGGGGGACCCCAGAAGCCAGAATGTGTGGGCAACAAAGTGTGTACTTATTCTTGCATATTTAAACTTCAGTCACCTCCAAAGTCCTCTCGGTTTGATGCAATACACTTACGGAGATGCCTTTCCCGCGACTCAAAACGGTTTTGGGACTCGTTCATTTTGATGCCTCTTCGTGCTTCTGCTGTTTTTTGTTTCACCTCTTCCACATCAGCAAAATGCTGTCTCCCTTGGAGGACTTTTCTCACCCAGGGAAACAAGAAGTCGGGGAGAGGTCAGATGAATAGGGAGGGGGAGGCACAGGGGTCGTACCATTTTTAGCCAAAAACTGCTGAACCTCAGCATGGTATGGGCAGGTGTGTTGTCCTGGTGGAAGAAAGAACCAGTTGCCTGCTTGCCACGACTCGGGACGTTTCTTCTGCAAATCATGACGCCGCCTTCTCAAAACTTCCATGTAAGAACTTGGGTTGGCGCTTTGATCCAAAGGAATAAATTTTGAGTGTACTACAAGGGTCCCACCCTCTAACATATTTCTGGGACTTTTTGGGTCCCCCCCGGCCCAGTAATTTGCTGTTGGCTCCATTTTCCTGGTGTCTGTTATTACGTGGTCCATAATTCATTTGATTTATTGTAGAGATGAGGTCTCTCCAAGTTGCCCAGGCTGGTCTCGAACCCATGGGCTCAGGCAGTCCTCTCACTTCAGCCTCCCAAAGTGTTGGGATTATAGGTGTGAGCCACTGCGCCTGGCCTCCGTTTTTCTACTTTGTATGTTTTTTATCTTCAAACATGTCGTCTTCTGGCTGGATGCAGTGGCTTACACCTGCATTCCCAGCACTTTGGAAGGCCGAGGCTGGAGGAATTGCTTGAGCCCAGGAATTCGGGACCAGCCTGGACAACATAGCAAGACCTTGTCTCAAAAAAATCAAAAAAGCCAGGTGTGGTGTCAGTCCCAGCTATTCGGGAGGGTCACCTGAGCCCAGGAGGCTGCGGTGAGCTGGGATTGTGCCACCACTCCGGCCTGGGGGACGGGGCCAGACCCCGACTCTCAAAAAAGTCTCCTTCCCATAAATATTTATTGGGCATCTATCTACTATGTGCTCATTGCTGAAGCCACGAAAAGGCACACCACCTTGCATGGGGACGGGTGGTGCAACAGATGCCTGGGCAGGTGTCCTGGTATGGCAGGAGCCATGCAGGTGGACGCCAGGGCTGTGACCACTGAGCCATATCAACCAACCCGGTGGTTCCTGGGGTGCGAGGTCCCATCTGAGCCTGACTTTAAGGATGGGCGGAGGTAGCCGGCGGGAGAGGGGGACAGGTGGGGGCGCGTGTTCCGGGCGTGGGAGGACCACGTGCGGATGTGTTTTCAGGTGCAGCCCCTGGGCCCTGGGAGGCCGGAGAGCCTTTCCGCCTCATGCCTCGTGAGGCCACGCGGATGCCTCAGTCGCAGCTGAGATCGGGAGTCGTCGCTTCCCCTGATCCCAGGAGTCCTCGGCGGCGGAGTGAGGATTGGAGCCACCACGGTCCAGACCGAGTTCCTCGCCTCCGCCTCCTCAGCGTGCCCTTGAAGCGACTGTGTCCGGGCAGTGGCGCGCTCAACACAGGGCAGATGGCGGAGCGGAGCGCCCGAGGCCTGCGGTGGAGGCCGGGCCGGAGAGACTGGCCCGCGCATCACGTGCAGGTGACCCACGGG